TTGAATAATGAAGTCGAAAAGGACTCGTCGCCGTGTCTTCCTTTATTAACCCTACGGACATCGGCGACGGAGGCTTTGCCGAAGCAACATGTGCCGCCTTGGCAACTTGATTGATGACCGACGTCTGCACACCACTACGCTTTGTTGCGCCGCCCACATTTCGCAATTTACTTCCATAATAGTTCACATGCCCTTTCGCTATCAACTTGTACTTTTTCGACCTGTACATTTCCCCTCCGTTCGGACACGTGACGAAATAAGCAACACCGGCAGCAAACCATTCGGCCGAGTTGACTTAATGGACCGTCGAGCAAACGACCGTATTCCAATGGAAACACGTCAGGTATGTTGCACCAAACTTTCCCGACATGGCGGCAAGAGTGTTTTGCCGAGACAACGCACCGACAAAAACTAGGCCGACTCGATCATGTAAAATAAAACGGGCTTCATTGGATCACGCACAGAGTACATAAACTATTTTATTAGTTTTTTTTTTAATAGGACAACTAATGCACATCTCCCGGACAATATCTGAAAAGGAACTGTTTCTAATATACCTGTAGAACTGTAACATAAATAAGTTGATGCGCCTCGGGCGCATCGTAAAATAGCAATAGTGATGATAATAATAATACAGCGCACGCGGAAATATAATGTAGTTTAATAGTCTGGCTTGCATTCATATTTGAAAGAAATGGCATTCAATAAAAATACAATTTGCATAAGATAACAACAAGGGTCAAAGCAATAAAGCGGCTCGGTATGCAACAACGGGTTCGGAATACACGAATAATAAACGATAACATAAAATAAATAACGAAAATTAAAGACTACAGCGTTTGTTTTTAACATACCGTCACCTATGCTGCGATACACAATAGTGTCTGACGACTATATTTATTGGATCAATTTATATTTTTTGCGATTATCGAAATACTGAGCGCTTTTGTTTGAAAAATTATGTCCGTCACGTGTCCGGTGAAAAAAAAAACCGGGTCAGATATAACATGTACGATAAAAGCATTCCCACGCCAACGGGAAATATAACAGAGGAATTCGGGAGACACGTTAATCAATTCTACTCCCTTGACTCGCGTCGTCTCGTTCTTCACCTCTAAAAACGCGTAAAAAACTATTCGATAAAATATCGGCCGTGGTTTCATACGCGCTCTCAGCTGGACGCTTTCGAGAGAGTACACACACATGTGCTCGTTTATTATTATTAATAAATATATATTTTTTTTTACTGTTGTTGCGCACGTTTTCGGTCGGCAGAACGTGTTTGTTTTTTGGAGTGTCCGCGTAAGACGCGATGATATCAAATTCGTGGACGGTCATCGTGCACACCGCGCGCGTTGTTCACGCCGCCCGACAAACCTGTTCCTCGTATAATAAACACACGGTCATGTTGGCAGTGTGGCACTGATACGGCGTGTGTGATTTATACCGAGAGCACTGTGCGGTGTCTGAATAACGATCGCGGCCAGCCGGTTATGACAGGCCGTCCGAAAGAATGAAATGTAATAAAAAAAATACCGTATACAACGTAATATAAAAACCCTAACGCGATGGCCATTGTTACTGCCTTGAATAGACGGTCAGGGGCGAGCGTCGTCGTAATGCACAGAATACTCGGACGGACAGGGGGCAGGGGATGCGTCGAGAATTCAAACAACGGCGGCGGCGGCGGCGGCGGCAATAGACAACGCGACCGGTTGCAAAGAGTTCCGGATTAATGACGTGGTTGGGTTGCCGGTAACGATGCGGCTGCTTGCGCGCGGACCGTCTTAATCCCTTCCCTTTTTAAGGGAAAACTTATTAGAGACTTGTCGGGGGGAAATTCCGCAATAGTAATTGTTTTCGGGGGGATGAGAGCAGAAAGAAAAACGAACCCTATACTCCGCAGCGCATTAAATCCGCTAATCCAACTTGATTTAATACTACTGTATAGTATTACACGACAGACCGTAAATCTTGTATTAATAACACTTTGATAATGCCAAACAATTGTAAATCTTTTCGAAAAATGGGAACGATTGGGCTTGGCCACATACGGACGGTGACGACGACGCCACCGAGCCGATCCCCTCCCCTATACTGTGCGAGCAAACGATAGGCAATTCGTTAGATTAATCGTTTGAATCCGTGAAATATTACTGTGTCGAATAGGTAAAACACAAGCTATTAAAAACCAGTTTTCTTCGATTTCTTCTGAAAAAAATCCACACGCGAAAGGCATTTCGATTTTACAGGAAATCGCTGTGCATAACATTATTGCCGAGACTGCGTTTCGATTGAACTCTATAATTATTATCACTGTACTCCAAGGATTTGTGAATGTAAATAAACATTAGCCATCTTCGAATATAAAAAATAACCACCGTGGAGCCCGACACGAAAAAAAAACACCCGGTAACTCGTATCTCGTGTTGCAAGAGGAGTTAATCATAGTGCTCTTTTCAATACTACTCGGCACACTTTCATCGGTTTTATTCGGTACATTACACGTATTGACGTTACGCGGAATAGATGTCTTCGATTATGAAATCCATATAAAAAATATATAATGCCAATTCGTGGCGTATTTGCCTCGAGTGGGTTATGGCAGTCCGCAAACGGCAGGAACGACCGCAACAAAACTTAATTTATACTAAAATAATTATAATTCACAAATACGTTCTCGGCAGAGTTCATGATTTTTTTTTTTTGTTACTTCACTAATAGAAACATAAAGTGAACGTTTTTCCGTGAAAATTTAATACAACCAGTCGTTTTATACTCCAGTAAAAATGTGTGCCGATAAAAAAATATTTTTCATAAAAATACTGTTTTGTTCGTATTAAGCGAAATAAATATAAGCGAATCTCTTTTCCGTAATAACGGTGTACATAAAAAAAAACGTTAAATAAACACTGTTGAAATATGAAATTATGAACAGCTTCTGTATGTAACGCGCAATATTGCCTTGGTCGTTACATTACACAATTGTACTCGGCAAATAAAAAGTAAACACTTTACTAAACTTTTCTAAAGAACCCAAACTAAGTAAAAATAAAAAAACTTCAAACATGAAACACGACTTGAATAACGGCGGCGGCAATCAGAAATACAATTAGATTGTCAAGTTTGGTATGTCCAAAATGTTGAATTAGTAGCAGCAAGCATTATGAATCATAATATTTTGTCAGCTCCGCATGGCAGACTAGTCGCAGAACTATAATATCCAAGTTTGAATCAATTGAAAGGTAAAATATATATTTATTTTTTCACGGTGACCCCCGTCGATTCAGCGGCGTTACTCGAATGATCAAAATAACATTGAAACGAGTCCGGCTGAGAAGGAAATATTAAAAAGGACCATCATCAGTTGAAATTAATCTCATCAGTCATGATGCCGCCGTGCGCTTAACCCGTTTTTGTCTCAATAATCAACATAATATGGAAACGTAATGTAACATTACTAATGTACGTTTTTTTTATGAATTATAATGCACGCCAGTGTCCGCCCGACAACCTCACGACCCCCCGAAGTTCATATCGCATTCCAGTTTTCGTTAATTATATTATTTACTTAGTGTTTATTCCGCCCAGTTTTATTTAATACACACATCGACGCCTGCACTAACGACGTTGTAATTTTTCTTATCGGCCAATTCAAATTAATCATTCGCAAAATAAATAGTAAGCCATGCGAATTAATTTTTTATACAACGGCGTATATATTTTAGAAATAAATTTTACGGGGATTTACTGGCAAGAATGACAACTAGACGAGAGGGAAAAAAGTCGAGGTAAACGCATAGTGGCCAATTTCATTTCACTCATTTTTCACTCGACTTGTTCGCCCCACCAGTCCTCCCCCTTCGCTCACGCACCTAGGCGGCACTCTTTTTTCAACCAACCCTACTTTTTCATCATCATCGTCGACTACGTTCTACGCCTCTTCTTCCCCTTATTGCCCCCCTCCGAAGTTATCTCGTGAATACAAATGAACCGCATTACCAGATGCTATATTTCACCTCTGGAAGTTCATGAAACAGACAGGGAGGCGAGGCAAAACGAATAGAGTTACGAAAAAATAATAGTGGCACCGAGATAAGTCGTCCGACTATTAGCGTGACAAACCTAATTAGGTAACCATCGGTTAAAAAAAAACAAAGCGCGTAACTTTTAACAATATAATCTCAACTTTTTTTTTTTTAATAATAATAAATTAATCACTACCCGTAGCCAGTCTTAGACTGAACACTAAGTACAATGAACAAGTTCATTTAGCAAGTAAAAAGAAAAATTGAGTCGGTTTGTATCAGTCGAATACTTTTAACAGTTAAATGGAAATTAGTTAAGGAAAAAAAACCAACGAATGCAAAGTTTACGTGATCAATCACAACTAAATACGTTTGAATTATTTTTCAAGCTAACTATAAAAAAATATGGAAAGGATATAAAAACTTTCAAACTTGTGGCTTTTTTACGCATCAGAGAAAATGTTGCAAGAGATTAATAATATTATGTAAATTTCTGCACTTTTTTTTCTATTAGATTTAAAATTGAAATAAATTGATTTTTTAAAGCGCATTTCATACCTATGAAGCAGCCCGAAGTCGTACATTTCAGCTTATTGTATGAACGAAAAGTATTGAATAAAAATGTGAAAAAAAAAAAAAAAGAATGTATAATCAATTACTTACTAAATACTGCCCGAGGAATTAAGAGGAACGACTAAAAAAATCTCGATTGACAAAGACAATAATGAAGTATAAAGGAATAGAGTATCAACACTTTTAGGAAAGGTTTTTTTTCTGTTGGTCCGAGTACACGTTTGATCAGAGAAGAATTAAGCGGCTGCAGTGGTTACACGGCAATGCTTCGGAGGAATGTTTTATAGAAAAAAAAAAAACACGGTGTTCGCTTCTTAATCTGATGAAAACTACCATTGCAACGCCACACGCACGTAATTAGGCAATTAAACACTTTTAAACATAAAACACGCAGCTTACCAGAAATACGTCCTCAAGTTATTTGGAAAAATATTCACATAATACCAATCGGTTCGCCGATGACAAATACATTGTTTTAATTGGATAGTTTTTAATTTATTTCAAATTACTCGTGTGCCGTTTAGTTGATGCGTTTACGGATTGTCTTTTTCTTGTACAACTTAATTCGTAACGGCTGACTTACCTGAAAAATAAATGTAAAATAAAGTTTTTAAGTGAATTTCACATCATGTGTACATTATACATAAATACAACACAAAAGGTTTTTGAGTAATCGTGACAGTCGTAAAATAATAATAAAGGAATGCGACACGTTTGTATGATACCCTTTCCCTGTCCTGCTCAGCTTACAGTTAATCTCGTTTTTCTTAATTCCAGATCTCAACAAAAACGTCTCATTTTGTCACCAGCTCAACAGGCTCTACAACGGCCTGCACGTTATACTATTATCAAGTGACAATCGAAGAACAGTGATCCTGTTTATTACTTTAAGGCTTTACTCCAATAAACTATTAACACCAAGCAGTGCCTTGTGCGAACCGTTATTTTAGTAAAAATCATACTGGAACGAACAAATTAAAAAAACGAAATCTCAAAGAACAATAACAATAAATCAACGGTCACCGTCGCGCCCCGTTCTTCACGGTTAAGTTCCAAGTAGTAGACATTTGAGAGGATTACATTCGGTAAAAAAAAACGGCTTAATGGGCGTTTAGCCAGAACAATGCGCCGAGGTATCTGTCAGCACAATAATTAGATATTAATTTCTCACTGCTCGTTTTCAGTTCACCGGACTCGACATCGTCAGCAAGTGAGGAGGAGCGAGTGCGTTTTTACTGGTCGGAATCACAAAATTCTCGTTCCGAAAACCACCGCGGTGGTTTATTATTACACCACACGGTAGTCACAGGTATGTAGAATACCTGGAAAACGGACAAATCGCGTCTACGGTGTATTTGTTCGCGTCGACAAGATTTAATAATTAAAAAAATCACAAAGCCCGCGGTAATTATACCAGACGCGGCGACATGCAAAGGTTACCGTCAGAATGGAAACAAGCGAGTACAGTGCAAAAATATTCACGCACATTATCGTAATGGACGAAATCCTATACGTTTATACAGCGCTCGATTAGAGTCCTTAGCGAACATTTACAAACGGTTTTTTAAGGGGCGCGTATACGGCCGCGGTGGGCAAACAAAAACGGTCGTCGTTTTTAATCTACCAAATGGACGTCAATTACGGTACTTTTCGAAAAAATTCGTCCACAATATTTCTACACTCGCGTAACGGGACTTGCGACGGCCGTAAACAGATAGCGGACATATTCTCCAATAGCCGCCGTACCCTCCCTCGACTCCCCTATCAGGACCATTTCTCACCGAGTTTTCACGCAAGACAACGATTTATCGCAAAAGAAGGAGAGAGTTTCAAAGACTCGGGGCAACGTTCACTTCTCCGGACGCACGCGATGTCAATTTATCGCTCTTTATTCAAATGACGCGACCGTCGCTGCCGCGGGTTCTCTCCTTATATATATATATGCGTGTACATTTTTTTATCTCGACTTGGGCAAAAATCCCCGTCGAGTAACCGCAATTTATCAACTACTAACCCCCTCCAGCCGAAAGCTCCTTATCAGGCCGACGGCGGCGGGTAATTTATGGTCGTTTTTTCGGCATGCGGCGCAAACAATTGTCATGCGATACACAACAGCTGCGCATACGTGACAATGCCGCGGAGGTGTCGCGAACACGGTAACGAGCGGGGGGGGGAAGGGCGGCGGGTGTAATAAGGCCTAAATACCCGTCATTATATGTATCGGTCGGGGGAGGTGTGATGTGCTCGCGGAGGTGTTGGGATACAATGAGAGCAGGAAATTTCACGGCAATACGGTCGCGGAATCCAAACACGCGGATTAGCACACCTGAAAGTATGTACACACAATAACGACACACACACCGGGGCCGATACACATTGAGACGTGCGCGTTGCAAAAGGCGCGCGGTGTCAAAGAGCCGACAATTACACCCAAATAACATCCTGTGCGCCTGAACGTGTACATTGTTGGCGGCCATTGTGTTCGAGACTTACAGTCGGTCGTTTGGAATAATTTGTACAATATATTTGTACGTGCGGTGACCGCGGAAAATCACATTGATTTTTTTTCAAAAGAAATATATTCGTCGGATTTACGCGGCCCGTGGAAAAAGTAACTGAGGCGACAAAAGCCGTTTATAAACATCGATTTAAAGGAATTCCAGTAGTCGTTGTTCGCATTGATTGTACGTTACAATATTCCGGTTCGCGAGCCAAAAATGTTTGTATAAAAAATCGATTCAGAAATGTTGATAATAATAAACGCGCACAGCGTAGTCGACAGCAAAAAATTCGAGACAACTCGAGTGTCAGAACATTTGTCGGCTATCGCGTACTCGGATTACAATTCAAGAGCCGCGTTTAGATAACAGTCCAAAGTGTTGGCGATAAGCCGAAGATGACACACGTCTAAACGCGAAAATCATGATTCATAATATTATAGAAAACGAAATGAGAAAAAATGCAAAGCTAACGGTTCTAGAACAGAAATGCGTACGGCGACCACACTTAAATATCGAAACAGAATACATTATTAAAAAATTATTCAGGTCACATTTGTGTTACGATGTCAATGTAAATACAGTGCCAGTTAATTAAGCACGGCCAATTAAAGGGGAAAAAAAATAACGTCCCGCATGATAAAAAAAACTATTTCGAAAAATTTGGTCATTCTATTTTTTGTTAACACTCGCCATGAGTGACCGATCTATATAATAAAAAAAGTATTAAGGTCTCGTAGATATAATTCTAAACAAATAAGGCGTTCTGAAGCGGACATGTTATTTTTTGCAATCATCGCGGTCACGATATGTTCGAATGATGTTCACACACTGCTCTTGTTTGTGTGAAAACGATACGGAAATTGTTTAGCAACCGTTCATACTCACTGAAATATTTGGTTTCGACACCGTTATTACATTTTTTTACATAACCCGAAGGAACTACACAAAGTGTCGAGTGCAAACGTCGCACAGGTCGACCACTACAACGGTCTACTTGAACTGCGCGTAACAGTTTCTTACGCGGTCGAGTGATTAAAAAGAACGTTAATGGAAAACCAACGCAAACGTTTTTTGACGAGCAAACGCGGACGGCAAAGCAAAAGGCGGTTGTTCCGATCTCGAGTAATTTGATGGCTGTAAAGTAATACTGTGCAAATAACGTTGAGAACTGATATCGGAAACCTCTTGGGCAGGGCACGAGGAATGCAACGAAAAATACATAAAACAGCCGACGACGGTTATCAACGACGAAAATCGCGGACGTAACCGGATACCGTGTAATCGTTATTGTTGTGCGTCGCGCGCGAGTCAAAATACAACAGATACGAATCGGCGGCCGTTTTTTGTTTACAGTCCACCACCAGCCGTTCTCTTGTGTATTAGGTGCTTGGGCACTGAACTCGTCGGCTTTTCTCGGCAGCCGACCACCTCCAGGACGCGGCGGCAAAAGGTGCCCGCGATCGATTTATCATCTCCGATAAAGCGATCGCGATCACACTGCCAATAAACGTATGTAATATACTCCGAGTCGCGTTTTTTTTTTATCCTCCTCCATCTATGCTGGGCTTTTAGAATAACACAATTTCATGTTTTCACGGGGCTCCGATGACAACAAATCGAGGACGACACATCATTTGTCACCGTTCACCCGGCTCGGCTTTGTGTGCGCGTCAACCGGTCGGAAAATTTTCGGGAATTAGCCGTAGGGGACAGGTGTGCACACGGTATTGCACAACAGCAGCAGCAGGGCACACGTACCCGTTTTTCAACCAACGAACAACGGCTGGTATTTATTGTCACCATAACTCACGAGCTGAATTGCGGCCTTATTAACGAACAACGGAGAGAAGTAATAAACCCTTACCCGGTCCAAACTTCTAATTACACTATTTTTGAGTTTATTACCGACTGAATTTGCGAGTGCGCCGAGTGAAATTTAGTAACAGCGCAATCGATAGTTTTAATAGAATCATCGCGGTTAGTGCGTACGTAAATATGGTTTTAATTCCAAAAGTTTGCAGAAAGGGCTGTGACGCGATAAAAATGATGTTGATAGCCGCAAGGTATATCGTGATATTGAAATTAGAGTCAAACATGGTTTCCCGGGATGGCGTAGGTATGATTTCAATTTGAAAATCTGCATAATTCCGAGTCTCTGTTTGTAATTGGAGAGCTGCCGACGCGGTGTAAGAGAATACAAAAGGTTGTTGTCGAAAAATAATAAAACGTCGAAATCCACGGGGAGAAACTAGAGGCCTAGGGGACGTCTGTTATCTCCGTGTTATCGCGACTCGCAACACAAACAAAAAAATTAAAATACTGACGTGGGGTTATGTTTTTTCGGGGTCGTGGAAATCATGCGTCCACCTAAACCGTAGCGTGTCTAGGTACCGCCGGTGTGGAAAACATCGTATAATGCGCGTCCTTATCGAAAAAATTGATATCGGATAAAAAACCCGTACACGCACATAATTATTATTATTACTGTTATTGTTACAGTAAATGACACTGTAACGTCGTTCAAAAAGACCGCCGCCGCCGCCGCCGCCGCCCACATTAATCTTCGAGTGTGTTTGTTTTGTGCGGACGACGAACGCTCACAAAAATCGTAATATCTATTGTAGTTGTGCACCAGCAGATAAGCGATAGGACAGTATAAAGTGACGGTTGTAACGTTTTATTGGACAACCGACTGACGCGACGTACACATACAAGTCGGTGTATAATCATTACGGATCATATGTAGTACGTGTTCGATCCATTCGCACATTGATTTATAGGAAACGGCGACGTCGTCGGGACACATCCGAAAAACCGCATCGAATTAAAAACCGGCGACGGTAATAAATTAATGGATCGATCCGAAAATGGTCGGGACAACTGTCCACCCGGTTTGTCTACTGTGGTCATAACGGGTATAATAATAACGAAGACTTATATGGAACTATAATCCATACACATGAATCTGTCCGTGTAAGAAAGAGTTGCGTTTTTTTTTTTTATGGAAATTTACCTTACTTCCAGTGATATTTAATCAAATCAATCTTGTCGTTTGCACAAAATTACGTCTCGTTTGACAACG